GACGTGGGGCTCGAACTCACGAGCCGTGAGATCGTGACCTGAGCCGAAGTCGGACGCTCAACCGACTGAGCCACCCAAGCGCCCTGATCTGGTTCCTCTTGGGTCTCTGTCTCCCTCTTTCTCTCTCTCTCTTCCCCCCACCTTGTCCCTCTTTGTCCCCCTCCTTCCTTCTGTCCCTTCCTTCCTCCTCTCTGTCTCTGTCTTTGTATTCTGTCTCTCCCTTCCTTTCTCTTTCCCTCTGTCTTTTGATTTGTGTCTCTTGCTGACAGAGATGCACACACACACGCGCACACACATGGCATCCTCTGCTCTCCAGCGTTGTGGCCCCTCCTCTCTCTGGCGCCTCATTTCTCCATGTTGGAACCGCACTGAGCGCCCGTATCTGCCTTCCCCACTGGACCGTGAGCCCCTTGCAGGTGGGAGCCAATCTGTGCCCCCAGCCCCAGTGCCCAGCGCAGTGCCTGACCCCTCAGGGCCGCTCGGAGAGAAAATCGAGCAGGCATTTGATTGCACGCCTCCAGGATGGGCTTCTCTTAAGCAGGGAGGCAAGCACACCAGATGCGCCCCCCACACCAGCATTCCAGACGGAGCTCCCCGGGCACTGGCCGCCTCCCGCCAGCTCACCCAGAGGCCCCAGCTCCTGTGCAGGTCAGCCTTCCCATCCGGGGACAGGGATGCTCACACTGACTTCCTCCCAGAGAGGAGGGAAGATCCTTGCTCTACCTAGAGCTGAGCGGAGAGGATGCCGACTTACCGGCACGGTCCTTGTCGTCGGGGTCCCTCTCGGCCAGCGGGGCCTGCCACGTACCCCATGCCCACCTCAAGAGGGCCAAGCCTGGGTCTCCTTTCTCCAGCAGGGTCAAGGAGATCTTCCTGGCCAGGGCCTCGCCGTCAGACTCGTGGAGCAGAGCGCAGTGGTACTCCCTGGAGAGGAGCTCCCTTTCCAACATGCTGTCCAGGAGGGCCCGGGCCTGGCTCGGCAGATGGCCGGCCAGCAGCATCCGGACCCGAGGCAGGATGGTCTGGAAGTGGTTCATGGCAGTGCTCGGAGGCAGGCCAGCTGCCTGGGCCAAAGCCTGGGATCTCTGCTCACCCGGCCCGCGGCATCCAAAACATGAAGTGAAAACCAGGAGGAGGGAACCTCCGCAGTCAGTTGCCGTCTATCCCCGCTTAGGAAGGTTTCCTCATTTGCGTTGTAGGCTGGGGTGCCTGGTGTCTGGCTGGAAATGGTTCTGACCCCACAGATATTGCTGGTACCGCCCACGTGCCTGCGGCGGAGAAGCCCGCAGCCTTGGGTTCCGCCGGATCCAGCCTGGGATTTACGAAACGGAAGGGGTCTTGTACAGGGCTAGTCCTTCTGAGATGCTTTAGCCTAACAAGAAGGCTGCTGGGGCAGACGGCTCAAGACAATTGGCTTTGGAGCCGACCTGCCGGGGCTCACACCCCACACCTGTTTGCTGATCGTGTGAACTCGACCGTGGCGTTGCTGTTCCGGCCTCCATTCCTCCGCCAGAGAAGGTTGGATGTCAGAAATGGTACATAACCTCACAGAGTTAGGTGGGGTGTCAGTAACCGTGCTGACCTGGAGTTGCTGGGAGAATTGAATGAGATAATGTCTGGAGAGCACCTAACACACTATCTACACCGTAATCATAGTTCAATAAATATGAGCCATTATTATTATTATTATTATTATTATTGCCTTTGTTATTATCGATGAATAGCGCATCCGACTCTGTCGTATGTAATCCAATCTCAAGTTGCCTTGAGGATTAAAAGAAGTAATGCACTGAAAGGGCTTAGCCTTGGACCTCGTAGGCATTTAGTGAACATTGGCTATATAAGAATATCATCCCTGGAGCACTTGGGTGGCTCAGTCCTTTAAGCGACCGGTTAAGCTTCTGACTCTTGGTTTTGGCTCAGGTCATGATCTCATGGTTTGTGAGTTCGAGCCCCGCATTGGGTCCTGAGCTGAAAGCACGGAGCCTCCTTGGGATTCTGTGTCTTCCTGTCTCTCTGCCCCTCCCCTGCTTGTACTTTCTCTCTCTCTCTCTCTCTCTCTCTCTCAAAATAAATAAACAAACTTAAAAAAAAAAAAGAATATCATCCCTGATTTACTAATGCACAAAACAGAGGTGTTGTGTAGGGGACAGTCTGTTTTAGGATTCTATTCAAAAAATTCCCACCCAATTTTCTTTTCTTTTCTTTTTTTTATTAAAAAAATTTTTTTTAATGTTTATTTGTTTTTGAGAGAGACAGAGACAGAGCATGAGTGGGGGAGGGGCAGAGAGAGAGGGAGACAGAGAATCCGAAGCAGGCTCCAGGCTCTGAGCTATCAGCACAGAGCCTGACAGGGGGCTCAAACCCACGAGCTGTGAGATCATGACTCGAGCTGAAGTCGGATGCTTAACCGACTGAGCCACCCAGGCATCCAGCCCAATTTTCTTTTTACAAAACTCATAGCTCGTTGCTCTCCCTGACCATTTTAAAACACACCCGTGACCTCATTTCCCATCCTGGCCTCAGCTTTACCATCTCTCAAATGGGACCATTTTTGTTGTTCATTTAAGTGGGACAAGTAAGGATTTCGACCTCCGGCTTGCCTGCCTTGCTCCTCTCTGACCCACCCTACCATGGAGGAGAACTAACAATTCTAGAGACAACAAAACCAACAAAAAACAGCTACCTCAAGGCACAGGAGTGTGACCAGAGCGGCCAGATGTTGGAAGGGATTCAACACACAGAAGACCAGAGTGTTACTGGCGAATTCTCAGCTTGTGGGTTTAGCCTGAAGGCAGGTCTCCATCAATACTGTGAGGGGCAACTAAAACTCTGTTTTAAAAAAATGCAAAGTATTAATGCTTTACATAACTAGAGGACAGAATTTAGGGTAACAGTAGCTGCTGGAAAGTGGGAGTCGAAATTTCAGACAAGAGAGAGAGAGGGGAGTTGCCCCAAATTCTGTGGCTGAACGGCCCAAACATCTAGCTGACTTCAGAGCCATGTACACATTCACCATCAGACTCCAAACAGCTCAGCTAAGTCTGCAGGAACTGAAGCGAGAGTTGAGTTGTAACCTACTACAAGGGTGGGGAGGGGGTAGGAGACTTTGCATTTGATTCCAGCCTGTTAAAACAACAACAACAGCAACAACAAATTAACCCTGTTCGGATTATAACAATCCAGAGTGTTTACAACATATGATGTGCAAGATATATCCAAAGTTACTTGACTATAAAGAAACAGGAAAAAGGCTTCCATTCTCAAGAGAAACAGACAATCACTGGACACTGACCTCGAGGTGACCCAGATGTTGAAACTGGCAGACAAAGGTTTTGAAAGCAGCGACTGTGACCGTGAATGTAAAACACATAGGGGCGCCTGGGTGGCTCAGTAGGTTGAGCATCCGACGTCAGCTCAGGTCATGATCTTGCAGTCTGCGAGTTCGAGCCCCGCGTTGGACTCTGTGCTGACAGCTCGGAGCCCAGAGCCTGCTTCAGATTTTGTGTCCCTCTCTCTCTGCTCCTCCCCAGCTTGCACTCTGTCTCTCTCTCAAAAATAAACACTAAAAAACATTAAAAAAAAAAAGACATAAAGAAGGGCACCTGGCTGGCTCTGTTGGTGGAGCATGTGACTCTTGATCCTGGGGTCATGAGTTCAAGCCCCATGTAGGGGGTAGAGATTACTTAAAAAAATAAAATTAAAAAAAAAACATTTCAAGAAAAGAAAGAAAGAAAGAAAGATAAGAGAAAGTAAAATATAGAACATTTTAAGTCGCTGGATGGGATTAACAGCAAAACGGGGAATGACAGAAGAAACAAACTTTGAGATGGAGCGAGAGAAAGTCTTTGATCTGAAAAACAGAGAAAAGATTGGGAAAAAGTGAGCTTCAAGAATCTGTAGGATTATATCAATAGCCCCAACTTCTGCATATTTGGAACCACAGAAGGAGAAGAGAGTGAATGAGGCAGGAAAAAGATTTGGAGACGCAAAGCCCCAAACTTCTCAAATTTGGCCAAAAGAAAACAAATGTGTGAAGCTCAGGAAACTTCAGGAGGGGTACCTGAATACAAAGAAACCACACCTAGGTACAACACAGTCAAACTGCTGAAAACTAGAGATAAGGAAAAACCCATGAAGAACAGGTTACATCAAAGAGAGAATCTGAAGACTACTGACTTTTCATTAGAAACCATGGAAGCCGGAAGACAGTGGAACGATATCTTCGAAGAGCTGAGCTTAACACACATTTCTAAACCCAGTGAAAATACCCTTCAAGAATGCAGGAAAAACAGACACTTTCAGGTAAGGGAAAAACTAAAAGAATGTGTTGCAGCAGGACCTGTATTTCAACAAATGAGAAAATACGTTCTTTCTGCGGGAGGAAAATGATATCGCTTAGAAACTCAGATCTACAGGGAGGATTAAAGAACATTCAAAGTCAAATATAAGAGATTGGGGTTTTTTTCCCTCTTAACATGACCACTTAAAGCAAAAATTGGAACATAGTCTCTGGCAATAGGCATGACACATATGATGACTATTGCATAAAGGATGTTATAACCTAGAGGGTGGTTATTGACCTAAGTTGTTGCAAGATTTCTAGGCTGCCTATCAAAGTGTTAGAATATTACCTCTATGCAGGTTGGGGGAAATAGGAGACGTAGATTATAATCCCTTGGGCACCCACCAAAACATAATGCGAAAAGGTAGAGCTAAAGAGCAACTAGAAATTAACCCAGAATTCTCAATGAGGTGGGCTCTCAACTCTTGGTTTGAATAACCAGTCTACCAGGATCCTGATGTTATAAACTTTGTCCATAAAGGCAGAAGGTAGAGATTCCAAAGCTCTTCTCACCTGACGGAGTGTTTGTACTTTTCAGGAAGCAGAGATGTCCATGTAAATATTATTCCCAGGGCAACACATTATTGATTGGGATCATAAAAATTGCATACTTTTGGCAAATCAATAATGCTTGCAGGCTGCGTATTTTAAAAGACTCCTTTGTACAAACGGCATTTTTGAGAATAGTTTTACAGTCATAAGACAAAGCATTACTTTTTCACACTTCTCTTGTGACAGGACACTGAGATGGATACTTAGGCAAACGTTCTCAGCTTTATCAGAACGAACTTTGGGATGTGGTGTCTGACTGCTACAGCCAGAGACAAAGCGGAAACTCTCTCTCTCTTTTTTTTTTCTGAGATTTCTCTTCCCAGAAGTTAGGAGACCCTATAGTTTCTGGGACAAGGCGGTAACGCCCACCAATTAGCCCTGAGAGAAAAGGAGGAGCTTCAAACTTAGAGGAGTTAGGAAAAGAAGGAGCCCAAAGGGAGTTTTAACAGATGGAAAAGATGATCTATCATCTTCAGCCATGGCTGTGGAAGAGAAGACAAGGAGTCAGTTACTGGGAGGGATAATGAAACCATGTTCTTTTTTTTTTTTTTAATGTTATTTATTTTTGAGAGAGAGACACAGAGCATGATAGGGGAGGGGCAGAGAGAGAGAGGGAGACACAGAATGTGAAACAGCCTCCAGGCTCTGAGCCATCAGCACAGAGCCCGACGCGGGGCTTGAACTCAGGAATCTCAAGATCATGACCTGAGCTGAAGTCAGATGCTCAACCGACTGAGCCACCCAGACACCCCAGAAACTGTGTTCTTTAATACTTCATCTCTTAGGCACTTGAGAGAGAGGTCCAAGCCATGAGGACCCATCCTTGAGCATGGGAGGTGGGATGGCGGATAATGGAACAGCAAACACTGGGGACACAGGACCAGGGGTAAGGGTGGGTTCTCCTAGCCACTTGTGAGACTGCCTTCCTCCTTCCTATCAATGCAGCCACCACCCAGTCATGGGCTTCATCAGGAAAACCTGAATGCCAGCCTCCACTTGGCCAATGATTCACTGTGTCACCACAGGCAAGACATTTCCTCTCTCTGGACCACAACGTCTTCACCTGTGAAATAAGTGGGTCAGATTACATGATCGCTAGGATGTCTTTCAGTTTTGAAATACTGAAAGCATCATCTAACT